GGGTCTAGGGCTTTAGGGTTTAGGATCTAGGGGGATCCCTTATCAAAGAACTCTTTTTTGGGAATATCCCACGTACCTTCTTCCCAGCCTTTGAGGCCTCCCGTACACTAGCATGGCTGATGTGGAGAAACGGCGCACGAAGTAGCACTCCAGGGCTCCTCTGAGCTGGCTGAAAGTAGCGTTGTGGCATGGGGTCATGGGGCTCAACGGAGCTTAGCTCTGCGGCTCGTTCTTGTGTACGTTTTGAATACTTTTAAGCTTTTTTTTGTCCTTTGTTTATCGTCTGCCCGAGCGGATCCTCACAAACTTCATGTTTTGTGTGCCTTCTAAGGGGAAGGAGAGTTTTCCAACGCTGCCAGGTCGTTATACTAGGCTTAGTAGCTGAAATACTACACTTTAAACTCTTTGGGATAGTATGATCCCTTGTAGAAGTGCAGGTGTACACTTTTTTCTGCTTATGAACTCAGCAACTCTGTAGGTGTAGGGCAAACCTTAAGCAAGAAGCCTGCACGCTTCAAAGAGAAGGGCCTGATCTAGGGTTTAGGGTTTAGGGGTTTAGGGGTTTAGGGGTTAAGGGGTTTAGGGTTTAGGGGTTTTAGGGTTTTAGGGGATTTAGGGTTGTAGGGGGTTTAGGGTTTAGGGTTTGCGGTTTAGGGTTTAGAGTTTAGTGGTTAAGGTGAAGAACTGAAACTACATGCCTGAACAAGGCCGATTCCACAAGAGCCATCCGCATTGCTGCGTCGCCTAGAGTGCCAAAACAGCCCTAGTGTAGAAGCCTAAATAAGTACCTATACTATACTATTTTGGGGTTTCCTTATTAGCAGTAATTAGTAGAATATACCCCAAAAGGACCGGGGTAATTGATCATAGCTTCCCCCTTATCCCCTCCATAATTATACTTTCGCAGATCCCAAAAACCTTGTTCTAATTCGGTAAGGCCCCCATACTAGAAGTCTACGGTTGAAGGTTGCTGGCTTGATTGTTGGCATGAAGATGCAGCATTGTCTCTTTCACCCTTGGCACGACGGGGCAAGCCGAGCGGCCTGAAACAAGGGCTGACGTGCACAGTCCCAGATCGCCTGCTTGAGCCTGCAATGACGAGACCCTTGAAACGCAAGAACTCCCCCCCACCCCCCTCCAAAGTAGCACTCAAGCATCTGGCGGGGAATTCATGCAAAAAGTGGGCAGGCCAGTGGTGGAAATCTGGATGGTAGAGTGTCACGGTTCGGGATTTCAGACAGTTTGATCACAGGCAAGGCCTTTTGATAGCGTAAACCTTCCGGAAGCTACCAGTCAGCAGCAGTTCTGATTTACGGCCATGAGCTCATGGAGCATGTTCGTTCGGTGGATGTCCTATGCATGCTATCACTCGTGTCATGTTGTGTTTAGTAAATCCCTAAATGCCTTAGACCCGAATCGCTGCAAGACTCTTCTGCTGATCCGCGCTACTCCTAGTACTAGCACCATGGATATCGTTGAATCGTCACTCCTGGTTTGCCTGGGCTCTGGAGTTCTATACCTGATTACTTGTTGTTGGACCTCTTCCTTCAAGGAGCCATTATGGCATGAAAGTCTACACTCTTCTTGGAGGTTCATGGGTAGTTAAAATTCCCCTAATATAGGTCATAATAACTAAAGTTATCCTGCTTATAACCCTACTTATAACTACCCATGAACCTCCAAGTTTTCTCCTTCAAAGCTTAGGATGGGAACCGAGGCAGCATCCGAACCTCCACATGGGACATGCGGTTCTTTCCGAATCTCTAGGAGCTTAATCCTAAGGCTCTAAGGACGCATATTCTAAGACTTTTTGGGCCCAAATACCATACTATGTAAGGCTTTTGTGGGCTATTTTTAGCCTTAGTGTTAATCCTAAACTCCAACCTTCAGCCCTCAATCCTCACTCTTCACTCCTAATACATTGTTAAACCGCAGACTCTACAGTCTCGAAATCCTAAGCCCTAAATCCTACACCTCAACCCTTAGATCCAAGACTTAAACTCGACACCTTAACCCTAAACCCTAAACCCCAAGCCTTAAAAAGACGGCCTGCCACGCAGCGATATTCGAATTCAACTCCATGTTCTCCTTGTCTGGGAAGATAATCAGCCCCTCGATAAAGCACGCGTCCTCCATGTCGCACTTCCCGGACTTGAGCAACCCGTTGCTGGCAGTGAAGTCCTTCGTGAGCGACGCGAGAGACATGATGCTCAGGGAGACCCCAGTGAGCTTGTTGGAAAACTTTTTGGAACTGCACAACAAAGACGTGATGGAAGCCTACGGCATGGACTCCGACTTCTGGGAGAACTACAAGGCTTTGATGAAGACGGTCGAAATCACCCCCTTGATAGGCTTGCTGAACCCCGAGCACTTGTACTTCTCCATGATATTCGGGGTGGACTTCGTGCTCGTACTGGAGACCAAGTCTAAGGAGTTGAACTACGTCAACAGCGGAGCCTTGACTCAGGTGTTGAAGGCCAAGACGATCGAAGACACGAACGAAATCCCCGACAACTCGAACGTCGTCGACGCCTTCATGAAGGTGGGGTCCTCGTTAGACTCCCTGATCTTGACCTTGGACCACCTCCCGTCCAAGGTGACTGTGTACTCGAAGTTGAAGAAGACCATAAAGGACAAGTACAAGCCCTCCTACATGAGGGAGGCGATGGATGTGCTCGAGATCCACAACTTCTTCTTGTCGGACCTGCAGTCGAAGGTGGAGTCCTACTCGAGGATAAACCTCAAGTACTTCGAGAAGACAACCAACCCCGTCCAGTCCTTGATCAGGGCCAGGTCCATGAAGAGGAAAGCCTACAGGATCAAGAACCTCGAAATCAAGTCTGAAAAGAAATTGAAAGTTGACATCTTGGACTACTTGGAGGTGATGAAGTCGATCGGCATGAAGAAGGAGGAGACGCTGGTCACGGAGCCCGTGAGCACCGAATTGAGGTTGAAGAGAGCCAAGAGCGTGATGAACAAGAAGAGGAGAATCTTGCTCAAGAAGGTCTTGGAGAAGAAGAAGAAGAGGGTGAGGAGAAAGGAGATGCACCTCCCCTCGTTCATGAAGAAGGCCATCTTGTTCGACACTAGGAAGCTGATGTCCAGGGAGGCCTCCCTCGCGAGGTTGTTCAACCAGTTCTTGATCGAGAAGGGGAAGCTGAACAAGACGGACAACAAGAAATTGTACAGGGCAAAGGTCTTGGAGTTCAGCAAGGACCTGAAGGTCACCAAGGAGGCGTTCTGCTCGGTCTTGCTCTCGAGGAACTCAGTGAAAACGAGGAAGGAGATAGAGATGGTGAGCGAGATCAGTGACTTCTTGAAGATTGAGAGGTCGCACTCCGAGAAGATGAAGATCTCCTTGGTGTCGAAGATATTGAAGATGTTCAAGTTCAAGTCCAAGAGGAACTTGAGATTCCTCTTCCAGAGGTACATCAAGGCGAACAAGGCGATCGAGGTGTCCTACCCCATGAAGGAGAAGAACTCCGACTCCATCTGCAGAACCTCCTCAACCTCTACAGAGCCTCATACTTCAACTTCAGGACCTACGTCAAGCCTGACTTCATCGGCTTCACTACCTACTCGGACTTGAGGAACCTCTTGAATACGCTCACGCTCATGCTGACAGACAGCAAGATGGCCTTCAACAGGAACAAGCAGGCGAAGGAGTCCCTCCTGAAGGGGCTGGCTGTGGTGGACCCCGCCAACTTAAAGGAGATGGAGATGAAGCACAAGAGAAAGATACTCCAGATGAAGACCATCCTGGACAATAAGTTGGACACGAAGCAGTTCAAGGAGAAGTTCGTGGACTCCTTCTCCAGGCCCCTCTTCACAATCAAGAAGTTCGAGGGGAACAGGACGATTAGGATGCTATTTAACTTGAACTACCTCGTCATAGAGTTCTCCTCCAAGAAGGAGACCAAGACCTTGATCTACCTGGCCAAGGACTTCGAGATGTCCAACACGATGAAGATGGAGCTCCTGACCTGCATCAAGATGAGGGACTTCATGACCATGACCTCGGAGGCCGCATTCGAGTTCGAAGACTACAACATGCTCGAGTTGGCCTCCGACTGCTACTTGATGAGGAAAGACTCCAAGATCAAGTTCAAGGCGGCCTTCAAGATGGAGAGAGGCCGGCTCATCGTCATCTTGAAGGTGGAGGTGGAAGAGAGGGACAAGAGCAGGCTCTTTTTGGAGGTCATGAGGGAGACATGGGACTTCAACAAGAACTACTTGGACAAGGAGTTAATGTTCTCGAACAACAGCCTGGGGCCCTCCTTCGTCTCCTTCAACTTGATGTCCTTCAGGGATTTCATCAACCACGTGACGAAGAGGTACATCATCATGATGAAGGGGGTCTCCGGCAAGATCGCGAACCTCTTGAAGAAGCTCTTCACGATGGAGACTAAGGAGGAGGTGGTGCAGGTCAGCGACAGCAGCTTCAAGAAGATGGACTTCACGGACAAGATCGAGAGCGTCATGGAGCCAGACAGCAAGCCGATGGTCAACACCAACCTCTTGTTCGCGGACCTGCCGATCTTGAGCAAGGAGGTGGAGGAAGAGGAGGAGGACAACGAGATGGCCTTGGAGGAGATGTCTGTCGACAGCGACTTGAAGGAGATGCTCTCCAGCGTCGCCTTGGAGCCCGCATCGAACCTGACCAAGTTCTCCTTCACCAACCTTCACAGGGAGATCATGGAGATTGTCAAGAAATCCGTCCACATCGCGAGGCTCAAGGAGGTGATCTTCAAGTTCCAAAACATCTTGACCCTCTTCGACAAGGACAAGGAGATGAGCTACTCCATCTTGGTCAATATCTTGAGAGACCACAACTACAACACGGAGGCTATCTGGTTCATCATCGAAACGATCGAGACGAACGACTTGAACATGCTGGACGCGGAGATGTTTAAGAAGGTCTTGAAGGACAGCAGGTCCGAGACGGTCGACAGTGAGTTGGCAAAGTTAGTCTCCTCTAAGATGGGGCCGTTGTTGGCCTAGCAGCGCAAGTCGTTGAAAAAGCCCGTCGTGGTCCAGATGGGGAGACACAACAACACCCAATGCTGTTGGACAACATCGGCGTCGTCGCATGACAAGAAGAAGTGAGCCAGCTGGTGAGAGGGAGCGAAGCCGTAGCCGTGACACGTAGCCGTGACACGTAGTGGTCGTCTGCGCGCCAGTAAGCCTCTGCACTAGCCTCTGCTCTGTCTGAGGTGGAGTTTTTAGTCTGCTACTGTGCCTTGGGTGCACTTCCTTAGTGTATGCTTGCGAAAGGCAAGCCCTTGACCTTCGATGCGGAGAGAAAGGGCCACTACACTTAAAAAAAAAACCCAAGCCTAGAAACCCTAAACCCTAAACCCTCGCGGTGGCCAAGGGCCCAGACGCCCACACGGAGCCCCAATCCCTGAACCCTACTTGGAGGTTCATGGGTAGTTATAAGTGGAGTTATAAGTCCCTTAATATAGGTTACAACTATAGTTATCCTACTTATAACTACCCATGAGCCTCCAAGTATAGGATCCCTTATACCCCTTTTTAGGACTCCTTAAAGGATCCCTTAAAGGAGCCTTATAACTACCCATGAACCCTAAACCCTAAACCCTATGGAACCCTACTTATAACTACCCATGAACCTCCAAGTACGCCCTGAAGCTTGGACCCCGCGATGCTCCAGGAGCGCCACGTGCGCTTCGTGACCAAGAAGCTTGTGGCTGGGCTTAGAAGTTCGTGAGTAGTTATAAGTAGGGTTATAAGTAGGGTAACTATAGTTATTGGGAGAACTTTCAACTTCTTGACAAGGAAATATTTGGTCTATCCTAAAAAGTTCAGACTGTTTTGGGGCCTGGTTGTTGAAGAAGAGAGTTGGACGTCAAGACCCAGGCTTAGGGTTCAGAGTTTGGGTTTCAGGCTTTAGGGCTTTGGGTTTAGGGTTTTGAGTTTCAGGGCTTAGGTTTTAGTGTTAAGGGTTTGGGTTGTAGGGTTTAGGGTTTAGCATTTCGGTTTCGGGGTTTAGGGTTTTTTGGCATCAGGATTCCTGGTGTGAGGGTCTAGGGAGGGGTTGAGGGTTTCAGGAACCCGGGTTGTCTGTTATTGGGTTTTCCGCTGCTTGCTGTGGCTTCGGGTTTTTTTCAGGCAATATCCGTCTAGCTTTGCGGGGGTTTGGGGTTTTGGAGTTGTTGCGGGTTTGAGGTTTCTTAGTGGTTTTGTTGAGATTTGGTTGAACCTGGACTTCGGGGAGCACCGTCGCCAAGGCTTTCAGCATGATTCTTTGGCTATTTAGAGGGACAACAGCGAAGCCTCGCAACAGCGAGCACTCCCCGATCCTCAAACCACGAAGCCCTAAGCCCCGCTTAAAACCCAACCCTAAGACTCAAACGTTCTACCCGAGGCTGGGTTTTTGTTACAGGGGTTTAATTTTAAACGCTGCGCGTCGTCCGCCTCGGCCCGGCCGTATGTTGGGAGGAAGACATGATGCCAGGTCTTGGGCTTTTGCTTTCGCAGGATATCGGGGTGCAGCGTCTGCGGGGTGAAGAGTGATAGGGTTTGTGCATAGACAAACTATATATAACTAAATAAATAAATATATATATATAT